GGGGGGGAGAGGAGGAGAGTAGGCTAGGAGAGGGGCGGGAGAGAGTTGGAAGGAGGGCTGTGGGGAGGGGGCCTAGGGCAGTGGCCTCAGAGTTCCGAAGTGGGGCCAGCACTCCAGCCGGGTCGCTGTTTGCAGAGTCAGGGAGGTGGAAAAGAAACGCACTCCAGCCCCCAGCTGAGCACGGAGCTGGGGCCCATCCCCCGCGCGTCTCCCGGGCTGCGGGGCGCGGGGGGCTGCCGGGTGCGCTTGGCTGAGGCGCGGCGCGTTGGAGACTTTATTGCGATAGGAAGATAAGAGGGGCGGGGGCGGGGTCTGGGGGGCCCAGGCGGCCGCACTTTAATTAAAACGGAAATTGCGGCCCCTGCCCGCGCGGGGCCGGAGGGTTCCAAGCGGCCCTGTAGCTGGGAGCACCGCTCCAGGACCCCCTCCCTCCTCGACACACCCTGGCTGCCCCCTCCCGCCAGGCCCTGCCGGACCGGCAGCATCTTCTTTTCCCTGTCACCCGCAGTCGCCTCGGGCGGGGATCGGCACCCCGAAGCGCAAAGCGGACGTGCCCCCCCTCTTTCGTCCCCCCCCCCAATCTCCCACCGCCCAGTCCCCGGCAGCGATGAGACAGAGCGGCGCCTCCCAGCCCCTGCTGATCAACATGTACCTGCCAGGTACCAGGGACCAGCCTGGGGCTGGAGGCACCAAGACCCTGGGCGGGACGTCTAAGCCAGGGAATGGGACAAGTTCTATGGACCAAAGGAAGGGAAATGTATATGAGACTCGGGTTGCGGGTGTGTGTGATGGGGTGCTGATTTCAATTTAGGGCGTTGGGGGGGATCTGCAAGGTAGAGAGAGCTCTGGGGTTTCAGTGTGTGGTCTAGAGGACTTGCAGATTAGGAACCTAGGATGCTGAGAGTGTGGGTCTTTAGCGTGTGGAGGGCTCTGTGCTCCAGCCACGCGAATAGGCTAAGTGGGCCGGGCGCGCCCCTGAGCCCTCAAGGGTCCTCACCTTCAAGCTCCCAGCGTACGCACCGGCCGGGCCCTTCAAGGGCCCTCTTCTTCTCTGAGAGGGGCTCCGCTGGCTCAGGCTCGGCTGGCGCGATCCCGGCTCGGCTTTATAAGGCTCCAGCCGGCCCCTTCAGAAAGCGGATTTCCTTTTTCCTGGACGCGTTTCCTGACTTGGGCGCTATGGAGGGGCTCTGCGCCGCACGCGTCTCAGCCTAGCTCGGGGAGGAGGAGCTGGGTGGCCGGGACCCCCAGAACACTGCAGCCTCCTCCAGACTTGGCCCCGGGCCCTTTTGGTCAAGCCCACGACTTCCGCCAAGACCTGCTTGACCGTTTTCTTCTGCTGCTGCAGATCCCGTCGGAGACGGTCTTTTCAAGGAGGGGAAGAGCCCGAGCTGGGGGCCGCTGAGCCCTGCGGTGCAGAAAGGTGAGCTGGCTGGTACTCTGGGCAGATGGAGATGAGGGTAGTAGATCGGCACTGGGGAAGGAACCCCAATAAAATGGGCACCACCGTCACTGGACAAAGGGGTAGAGCTGTGTGCACCCCAGGTTATGGAAAACAAAAGGTCGTTGTTGGATTGTGGGGTGGTCTTTGATTTGGAAGACATTGATTTGGTCTTTGACTTTTGAATCTTCTAAGTTCCTTGGGCAAGGCTTGGAGGCCAAGGATGAAGGGGATTCTGGCCCCTGGACCTTTTTTTCAGCAGAGTGTGTTTTTCAAGCTTTCATGATGTGGAGGGGGTGTTTGGCCTCTTTTTCTTGCTGGCCTCGGGAACCCAAGGTCGTAGTATTGCCTGGCTAGGGAGCGCCCAAAATTACTTCCCCTGGGCTGCGAGGCTCCTAAACCCCAGCCGGTACTCCTGCTTCACCAGCCGGGTACTTGTAGACTCAGCAGCCCTGCCAGTTTTCTGCCCTGGCATTGTGCCTGACTACTAAGGTTTGCTGCAGCAGGCAACTGGCGTCACTAAACTACCCTGTTTGCGGCTGCTCTTTCAAGCAACCCTTCCCCAATAGCTTCTGCCCCAGCCAGAACCCTAATTTCAACAAGTCACAGAAGCCACAAAAATGAGATTGGCAACTGCTTTTTTTTTTTTTTAAATACCAGAGGGAAGAGAATATGACACCCAACAAGAATGTGACTCCAACCTCTGATGTGGCTCTCTCTCGGTGCCAAGTGCACCTTTTAGCTCAAACCTTCTACTCTAAAACTAAATGCTGGCTACCTGGAACCAGGCAGCTCCACCCTGGGCTGGATTAGAGGGATTAGGGTTGAAATTCTGGGAGAAGGAAGCTGCTGGTTTCTGACTGAGTGACTGAATAGGAAGGAGAGGCTCACTAGACTCCATTTGAGGCCAATCCATTTTTATTCTGAAAAGGGGTAGGAACAATTTATCAAGAGTTTTCTCTGCTTGAAGCTCCAAAACAGGAGAGTGTGGTTTCTGAACCACCTGTATATCCAGTGAAAACCTCCTTGCCACCTCCAGCAACCCTGAAATTTGTAGGAAGATCACTCAGGAGTCATACAACTCTTTGATAACCCTATCTCTCTCCTTGGAGTTGCCCACCAGGCCCCAGAGAGTTATGGCATCTTTCCATTCAGAGAATCCCATCTACAGACCCCCTCACCCCCTCCCGGCAGCACAGTGGTCAGTACACCTGAAGGTGGTGAGGATGGGGAACCCCTGAGAGTCTGTCCTCTCAGTACACAGGGCCTCTGTCCTCCTTCCTGTCTGACATAGTGCTACAAGGAAGCCTGCTTTGGCCCAACATCAGGCTGGGTCTGTTTTATTGTATGCCTTTAGGTGCTAGGGACTATCTAGGCCTGGTACAGCAGTGACAGGAATCATCATCCACTTGTACATTTGCTCCTTTCCTTCTGGGTCTCAGGATGGGATCCAGCCAGGCTGGGCAGCTCAGCCACCTGCACAGGCTGTCTTGCAGAGTCGCTCAGGCTCTGCACTAAATAAAAGTGGCTGGCCTGGGATGGGAGGAGGGACTGATGCCTGGTCCTGACTTGGAAAGCCACCGAGGGCTATGGTTCACCGCTGCTTTTGCGAGGAGCAAACAATGCTCCCCATCCCCCCAAATTCCCACAAAACCATACGCCCTAGGGGACCTAGGCCCTCCAAAATGGGAGCTGTTTCCATTGTGCAAAAAGCGCGGTAATGGCGAGGTACCGTTCTGCGGATCCAACTGCGATCAGTTAGCTACTCCTTTCCTCCCCTCGGTGGTTGCCATTGGGTTACGTTTTCTTACTTCACCTCTGCCCCCATTTCCAACCTTCCCTATCCCGCTTGTGGCAGACGGTCCTCTTTCCCACAGGTAGCGGACAGATCCAGTTGTGGCAGTTTCTCCTGGAGCTGCTGGCCGACCGGGCAAACGCTGGCTGCATCGCGTGGGAAGGCGGTCACGGCGAGTTCAAGCTCACAGACCCGGACGAGGTAGCGCGGCGCTGGGGTGAGCGCAAGAGCAAGCCCAATATGAACTACGACAAGCTAAGCCGCGCTCTGCGCTACTACTACGACAAAAACATCATGAGCAAGGTGCACGGCAAGCGCTACGCTTACCGCTTCGACTTCCAGGGCCTGGCGCAGGCTTGCCAGCCTCCGCCCGCACATGCCCACGCCGCCGCCGCAGCTGCAGCCGCCGCAGCCGCGGCCCAGGACGGCGCACTCTACAAGCTCCCCGCCGGCCTCGCCCCGCTGCCCTTCCCTGGCCTCTCTAAACTCAACCTTATGGCAGCCTCGGCGGGCGTCACCCCCGCTGGCTTCTCCTACTGGCCGGGCCCGAACCCCGCCGCCGCCACCGCCGCGCTCTACCCCACCCCGAGTTTGCAGCCCCCGCCAGGGCCCTTCGGCGCGGTGGCCGCCGCCTCGCACTTGGGGGGTCATTACCACTAGACGGGGTGGCCAGGTGCTGCGCGGCCTCTCTTGACACCTGCAGACCCGTGGCCAGTTCCCTCCACATCCTGGGGAGGGCCCCCCAAGCCTCCCCCGACGTTCCTTTAACCCATATTTCACTACAGTAGCCGCATCCAGCCCAGGGGAGAAGGGATGGAAGGCTCTTAGGTCCTCCTTAAACATTAGTACCTCCCACCACCCTTAACTTCCCAAGAAGGGCGATTGCACCTCCTCTTTAATTTTTCTCTTCCAGTTCTCTAGATCCTGGAAAGGGGGGCGGTCCTAGAACTCCCCCGACTTTCTCTCTTCTCACCTGCATCTCTGGATCCTAGAAGTCCCCTCCTTATGACCCTTCCTCACTTTTTCTCCCTCTTGAGGACCTGCCTCAAATCCCAGCACGTTTCTTCTACTTCCTGGGACCTGACAAGGTTTGGTAAAGATCGCTGCCCCCTCCTTCTCCCCACCGCTGCTCCTCTCATCCCCACACTGGCTGAAGGGCTCAGCATGTTTCTATTCCTTTTCAGCCTCATTAAAGTTCCCAAGCTCCCCACTGCCTCCTCTCTTCATTGCTGCACCAGGACCCTTTCCAGGTAGAGGAGGAAGAGGCTCAGCGCAGGCAGAGCAGAAAGGCCTCGGGAAAGTGAGGGCAACGCAGACCTGGGTGTCGGTGGCTGGGAGCCAGAGAAACTGGTGGGTGGGATCCTGAGAGGGGGCGGCCCTATGCATGTCCCACCCCTACCCCATCCATGCCACCTTCCTCCATCTCGCCCAGCCTTGTGCCCTGCCCTCCACCTATCCTGGTTAACATCTCATTCTAAGCCAACCTTCAGCTGCTCTTACAATCCTTGCCTCCAACTTCATACCTTTCCCCGCCTCCACTCCCATCTCCACCCTGCTTCGTCCTACTCTCACAGAACCTTCCCTTCTCTCACAAACCGCCTGCTCCCGGTAGCTTTGGCTCTTTTTTCTGGATCTGCCTTTTTTTTTTTTTCCTCCAGAAGGGATTTCCCTCACCACCACCCTGTTGCTCTTGCGGTCCTTAGCCAGGGCTTGCAATGGGAGTCTTCTCCCGCAAGTGGTGCGCGCCCTCTGCTGGTCAGAGGGAGGGTAGGCCGGGGCTACAGCTAAACCCAGGAAAGGTTTTGGCGCCGCTTGGTGGAACTGCGGGTGCTTCCACAACTAAAGACAGGAGGACCGGTTGGCTCCACATTTCTTTTAGCCTTCAGAGAGAAGGAAACCCAAGCCCTTCCCTTGTGTCCGGCCTTGGGAAGTCTGGGAGGTGGGCCGAGTTGATCATTCTGACTCTTCTTACCACTAGAGGCACTTGGTACTGCCCCTGCTCTTAAGCTATGTTCTCGCCTTTTCCAAAACCTGTTGGCTGGGAAGTGGCCTTAGATGCCACGCCCCCACGCCCCGCCCCGAAGAAAACAACCCTGGCCGAGCTTTCAAGCTGCTTCCAAGGCAAGGCCCCTACCATCCCTTCCCTAAGGTCCAGGTATTTCTTTCTGGAGCGTATATCTCTTCCTGAAACAAAAGTTCCTCCTGCTGGGTGAGAGCACTCTGGGCCTCTACCAGGCAAGGAAGGAGGTTTCTCTGTGTCCTGTGGACAGAAAGAGGAAATGAAGGTGGAAGACTGGGCAGAGTTTGGGGTGAGTGTCCCTTCCTAGGGTCCTAATGAAACATCCAGATCCACGAGGGAAGGAGCCTTTAATTCATGTTCATTTTTCACTTTTATTTCTGGTTTTCCAAACAATGCATACTTAGGGTAGAGAATTAGGAGGCATGGCAGCACATGACTGTGATCTTTTGGGAAGAGGAAGCAGGAGGATCTAGAGTTTGAAGTCAGCCTGAGCTAAAAGCAGGACCCTGTCTCAAGAAAAAGAAAAACTTTGACAAATGCCCACAAAAGCCCCTATTATCGATTAGTTGGAGGAAGAGCATGAGACATGGAAAAAGGAAATCACCTGTCTTATTCTGCAGCTGTTGATCCCTCTTGATAATTCCCTTCCTTTCCTCTCTGCATTTTTTAAAGATAGGTCCCTTTTGTAGCCCTGGCTGGCCTGGAACTTGCTATGTAGACCAAGTTGGTCTTGAACTCATAGAGATTCACTTGCTTCTGCCTCCTGAATGGTTGGATTAAAGGCATGCCCCACCACATCCAGCCTGTTCTCTAAGCCTTTTAAAATCTAGGGCTACTAGGTTTTTTCATTTAATATTCTGACATAGACATGTTCTGTGTCATCATGTCCTGTAAGCCTTGTGAGGCAGAGAGTGGATTCATATAGTCCATAGAGTACATGAACCAGAAGAAGTCTGACCTGCTGGGGGCTCAGTAAATTACACAGGGTGTTAGAAGACCTGTTTACAGCTCTGTTTGCAGAAAAGGAACACACCAGAGAAGACCTCGACTGAATCCAGAAAAATATGAACTGCTAAGAATTTCTAACAAGGGTTGAGAGGCGCTGTTCTTAGATCTTCAAATGAAGGAACAGGAGGCTGGGGTACAAGTCTGGCAAGGTTGGGGCTAGCAGAGGCTGTGTATAAAGTAGGGATGTCTTAGGGTAATGCAGAGTAATATTCAGAAAAACTTATCTGAGATTGATGGAGATAACAGCATTTAGGATGGAGGAAGGAATCTACCTGCTACAGTAATTTTCCCCCTTGGAATGTAATGTATAGTGTTAAGGCAGCACTTTTTGGAGAACAAAGGGAAACCACACAGTGTAGTGGACCAGAAAGGAAAGAGAAAAAACTTTGGAGAGCCAACAACAATACTGATATAGTCTGGGAAATCCACTAGGGGAAAGGGCAGAGAGCTGTCCTGAGTGAGAGAACTCGCATGCATACGATTAAGGGCAATATTAGGACATGTGGTTGGAAGTAAAACTGATGTCACTAACCTAATAAGCCTCTGCCATTGAACATAGCAGATGAATTCTTTGTTCAGCAGACTTTTGTGGGAACAGTTGAAAGTAGTGGGGGCAGGCTAGATGACTGCTCTAACCTTAAGTCCCTTGAATGGGTAAAGGAGGGATTTTAGCCATTATTGAACAGCTGGGTCGATGTTCAGTTAATTGACTCACTTCTGAAATCCCATTCTTTTTTTTTTTGAGACAGAATCTTCTTGTAGCCCCAGCTATATATAACTCACTATGTAGACCACTCACTATGAATTCAAAGATATCCACCTGCCTCTGCCTCCCAATCCCATTCTTAAAGTCCTCTCTACTGTTCTTCTCTGCACCTGTAGCTAGTTTGGAAGGCTGATCGAGGACTGGGAATGGAAGAGAACTTGACGTGGCTTGGCTTGTCAACCAACTTGCTATGTGATCTTCAGACAAGCACATTTCTTTTCTGGAATTCCATTCCCATCTTAAGAAAAAGATGAAGCTAGGCCAGGGATTTTCAAACTGTTCTGAGGACTCTCAGGGGGTCACATAGGTTCTCGCTATAAAACATTTGTTCAAAGTCATAGATAAGATCAAATCCAGCCTCAGCACCTTGCAGTGGCTGTCCTCTTCCTCTTTCCTAGTCCTTCTCAGCTCTGATAGCTCCTGGGTGCTGTGATATATTCAAGCCCTGGGTTACTGCCATCTTGGGATAACCATTCCATTCAAGTCCTGAAGAAGACAATCTTGCAATACTGGAAGTTGAACCCAGGGCTTCAAGAATGCTGGGCAAACACTCTACCACATCTTCAGTCCCTAGAAGATACACTCTAACCACATCCAGCTTCCTGATAATCCAGGCCTTTCCCTACTGACTCTTACTTAGCCACTTGGTTCTTGGTCCCCCAGGGTATTGATCTCACCATTGTTTCCAATATATCCATTATTTCCAACCTAACTCAAGAACCAGTCTTTCTTTTACTGAAGTTCTGAACCTTTTCTCTACCACTTCATTCATATCACTGGTGAAAATGTGGCTCTCTACCCTGCCTTTCATCATGTGCGCCCACTACAGAGTTTACAGAATGCTTTCAATCTGTTGTTTTATTGACACTCCTCCCCTAAGGTTAGAGAGGCAAAAAAAAAAAAAAAAAAAGACAGCTATAACTCCGACTGCTTAGAGAATTAAAAAAACCAAGGCCTGCGATGTTAAATGACTTGGCCAAAGTCTCAAGGCTTGTTCTAGGGTCTGTGTTATCTGGTTCCACTGTCAGACCACTTGCTATTCCTACAGTGATAAACAGATTTTTGTCTCCTCCAGTACTCTGTGTGCCATCACTTGCTGATGGAGCCCAAAGTCCTATTAACATGCTATGTGAGGACATCTATGTCCATGCTATCTGAGACCCACATGAATGTAAAACAACCATGCCTCCTAGAGTACTTAGGCTGACAGAACACTTTCCCACATGTTTGCTCATGTGACACAGATCCTTCCTTCTGTCCATAGGCTGCTGTGGTATGTTTTTCTGCTCTTCTGGCCTTCATTTTTCCTCCAATATGTCTTTAAAATTCATTAAACTACTTTAGCTTTGTGCTGGATAGCTTTAGTGTCAACTTGACACACCTGGGTTGAGGGAGCCTCAATTGGGAAATTTCCTCTATTGGACTGGCCTGTGGCCATGTCTGAAGGGCATCTTCTTGATGAGTGATGTGGGAGGGCCCAGCCCACTGTGGGTGGTGCCACCCCTGGGCAGGTGGGCCTGTGTTGCATAAGAAAGCAGGCTGAGCAGGGGCCAGGGGAGCAAGCCTGTAAGCAGCGTTCCTCCATGGCCTGTGCTCCAGCTCCTGCCTCCAGGTTCCTGCCCTGAGTTCCTACCTTGGGCTCCCTGATGAACTGCGACCTGGGAGTTGTAAGACAAATAAACCCATTCCTCCCCAAGTTGGTACTGGTCAGAGTGTTTTGTCACAGCAATAGAGAACAAACTAAGACAAGCTTGTTGCTTGAGCTGTTTAGAATTCATATCAGTTAGGTCTGCTGATAATAAAAATATACTTTACCAGTCATTGAACCTGACCTGGTGCTGGGCTCTACTCTGTGCTAATATTTTACAAGATGTCTCTCCTCTGAACTGACCACACTTTGCCAAGTTGGGGTAATAACCTGTATTTTCAGACAAGGAAA